AACGGTCCATTTGAATGATAGGAAGTCGCGCCTGCTGGGAATCCGATCTTGCTCTATTGTCATCAATAAAATCGTGCATCACACGATATCCTTCAATCTCGATAATTTTTCTACTGATTACTGATTTTGGCTTATTTGTTGATATTTTTGGACGAGACATTAACCTTCTGTTAGTCTTTGAAGCTGATTCGATCAGCGTTATACTGTGCGATAAAGTTTAAGGTGTATGTTTTGCGCATTGTATATTTCACACGTCCCGTTTCTTGCAAAATGTCTTCAACATACCTAGAACTCTTCCATGAGCTCCATACAAATAAAATTTCANCCCCCCCCCCCCTTGGAGGATGACAATATTTTCTCTACCCTAGGGTAGCGAGAAAGTAAAAATTGGTTGTGGGTTGAAAAAGAAGAAATACAAGAAATTTCTTCAAGAGGCATTATAGTCCTTCTCAGAGGTTCTTCAAGGGATCAGAACTTGCGTGAAAAATAAATTTCCTCTTATTTTAATATTTATTCAATAAATATGTTTCAAACTTCACTCCAAACATCGAGGAACAAAATGAAATAATGGAAGATAATATTTTTTTTTTTCTCTGCACTTTCAATTTTTTTATCTAGTGATAAGTACCTATAATAATCTTCTAGGATGACTCGATAAAAAGAAGCTACAGTATATACATCTCTTTTTTATTTCTTTGATATATTGATCTTTTTTTTGAAATATGCATATTTGTTGAATAACTGAAAGAGTAGAGAGTTCATAAAAATGAAAACTTCTATTGACTGGCTAGAGGAAAAGAGAAGAAAAATGAACATTATCAGAATGTTCCGTATATGTGTCAGTATGCAATTGCGAGAAACCAATTAACATGAACAAAAAACGATGTTATCAGAAATTGAAAGAAATATGGCAACCTTCGTGGTGAGGGGGCTGTAAAGCCGCCCTCCCTCACTCCTCAAGTAATGTCCTTGAGTCAAGTTCTGCAAAATTATTCTTTATGTAAGATGCTTACGGTCCCATTCGCCGAAAGTAACGTGAAAAAACAGCTATCAAGGATCCCAATTTCAATAGTCATGAAAAAGTGTGTCAAACTCGTATTAAAACTCGTTATTCGGCTGAAAAATGATCAAAAATGGAATCTACGACGAAAAATACAATAGATGAGTATAATTTGCTCTATTCTAACGGTGGGAAATCTCCGCAATCAGAGAGAATAAGAGGCGTGATGCGCGATGACCGACCCCTCCCATTGACTCGATCCACCGTGCGGCGCGGCGCAGCCAACTTAATATGCTCTGGAGAATCGCTTGCTTTGGGCTGTGAGCGGAGAGCCAGACAGCTCGGCGCGGGGCGGCGGAATTAAGGCGGGCGGGGAAAGGCCTCGTTCCGAGCAAAGCACTAAACCTACCGCACGCCATGGGGGTGGGGGGGGGGGGGGGTATTTTCAAACCTTTAGTATCATAGTGAAAAGAAGTTATTCAAAGATGGATTTTAGTAATTCCGGTTGAAAATGCACGTTGAATTGTTGATACTTAATTGTATATGTTCATCGAAAATCCCATTTTTGACCTTGCTTATGTTAATTGATTCACATCAATACGCGATTTTTCAGCCCCATCTCACTCCCTTAAAACTGCACTTTTCTCCCTCCCACCACCTTTTGAATCATTTTGATACCATCTCTACTTACCCTTTTCCACCCGTAGAATGCCTTTCATTATTCAAGGACAACTCTTCTTCAGCCCTTTTCTACGAGACCCAATATGAGAGTCGGCTGATGAGAAGAGCACAATACCAGGAAGTAGTGTTTTGGAGACTCGCGGGTAAGGTAACTCTTAAACCAATGCAATAGGGCGGACATATATAACGAGCACTTCATTCAAAAGTATTGATAGAACATGTAGTATTCCTTAATGTTCTCTCCATTAAATGCCCAAAATTTGTATAAGCTAGAATGAAAACAGCTTTTTTCCATAACCCCGACCAACAACTCATAAACTCCGCGAATGATAAATTTCGGTCAAACGAGCGAAAGTAAGGCGAAAATTGACTTCTGCAATGAAAATACTGTAGGTGTATCTAGTTTTAAAATAAAAATCCAACTGATTGTATCAGTGGTTTGGCGTCCATTAGATTCGCCGTGTTCGCCGAAGAAAATATTTTGGAACAATTAATAAATACGGCTAAGAATGTGGAAAACAATATTGAATAGTATACCGCAAATAATTATTGGGCGCTTGGCTTCCGACAGCGGCATGCGGCGCGGGCGCGGCGCGGCGGAGAGAGAAAATCCTGCAACGCGCGGGACCGAACCAGCTATCGAGCGGGATGAGAGCGAGAGGCGAACGGACGGGGTGAGGCAATGATGAAGGGGTAAGGGGTAGAGAGAGAGAGAGAGGAGTGGCGAGGCACTGCCGCGGCGCGGGGGGTAGCGGGCAGAGCCTATGTTGTGAGCCCGAGTTTCGCATATCATCCGTTTCTCCTCATCGCAGCTTTCATCAAATCGCAATTGCCCGGAAACTAGGACCGCACATCTTATCTGATAAAATCGTTCATCCTTTAGACCAATTTTGAGGGATTAGGCTCGACTAGTCGATGAGTCAATTGTTGGTCTAATTTCATCACGTGAATCGACCTTGTCTGCACGGGACGTTTTCATGGGATTTGTCCCAAGTTCGAATCGCAGGAATGAAACTTCTGAGATTTTTCTCAGTTACCGTCTCCACGGGACGACGCTCATACGGTCCTGCGACTAGTTTGCGCGGGAAGATAAATTAGATAGGTAAAGTCGAGTATTTAACCGTCATTAAAATAATAAGTGCACTCAATTGACAATTAGACACATATTTTAACTAAACAAACAGGAACAATGGATTATTCGACAAAATATCGCACAGTCCGTTTACACTTCTTCTTCCTCTCTCGGTGGGTCCTAGGAGTAAAAGGACCATACTTGGTACTGGGAAAAATATTGATCAACTCAATATTTTTCCCAACTTCGTAAGTGGGATTTCTCCCTGGGACAAATCTCGTGAAAAGGCCCGTGGAGACAAGACCGAACGCAGAGGAAAAACGGGGTAAAAAAATACTAGTGCGTGATCAATTTTCAAGGACAATTCTGTAATTTCTCCTACGATTTTAAATAGATTAAAACGCGTAATATCCGAAATCTAAGCTCAGATTCGGATTCCTCGTGAAAAATCGATGCGATTTCATGTATCATATGTTAGCATAACATGAAGGAAAGAGGTTTAACGATGCGTTTAGATTCTGTCGTACAACCCCATTTGAACTACGCCGCCGCGCCGGTCGCCCGAGGTACAACCGAACGGGGAGGCGCGCGCCTGGCGCTAACAAGCGTTCGGTTTCGTCCCGAGGAATTCCTGAGCACTACCCATGTTGCCACGTTGCATTCATATGCTCGAATCAGTATGCCTACGTTACGTTACGTGTCTTTCCTTCACGCTATGCTCGGGTATGAAACATGAAATTGCATCTATTTTCAACGAGGAATCCGAATCTGAGCTTCGATTTTGGGTATCACGCGTTTTAAGTCACATGTTCCAAATTCGAAAATCCGAAATGACGGGCGTGGCTTAAAATGCTATCTCGGCTCCTGTTCGATGGATTTTTCTGAAATTCGGTGTCAGAGTATGATACATGAAATCGCATCGATTTTTTACGAGGAATCCGAATATGAGCTTCGATTTGGGTATCACGCGTTTTAAATCAAAATCTGTCCAAATTCGAAAATCCGAAATGACTGAAGTGGCTTAAAATGCTATCTAGGCATGAGGAGCGCTGAGTCATAATGTGTTTTGGTTCCTGTGCTTAACCCTTACCTGCACACATTATGGGTTTCGAACTTTTTCTTGAAATTTCGAGTTTTCTAAGGCCTGTTGGGTCTAGATAACTCAAAATTAGTGAAAAAAAATTTTTTTGACTTTTTTTTACCCGGAAATTTTGACAAAAAAGGGTGGTCAGTATGACTGACCACTGAACAGGATAGGAATACGCAATTTTCCTATTCACCTATGTGGATATAATTTTCGTGTTTTTTTTATTTTTGTGTAAAAAATGATCCTTGTCTCTACCTATCCGCGCAAGACATTCAATTTCTGCCCTCCAAGCCCCCAACCCTTCCCTCGCAGACCTCCCCTTACCTTCCATACTAACTTTATCAGTGAATTATAAATGTTGACTCCGTAGATTTTGTAAGTTTTTCACTTTTTCTTACATGTTTGTAAGTGATAGAGTCTCTGTTTTTGGAAATTGAGTGAAGCTAGTCTTAGAAAAATGTATAATTTATTATAAAAGAGTATAAATAAAGCAGAAATATATAAAACTGCTTGAAGTGAAGAACATATGACCGTAACTGGAATAAGTAAGGAGGCAATCAAAGACTAGTCACAATAAAATAAATTCATTCCTTCAAAATGCAACGATAATGGTCCTTTCCCACATAAGACTAGCAATTTTAAAATAATAATTTTGGTCAATAATTATAAGTAATGAACATAATCATAAAAATTACTGATAAAATAATAATAAAAAATAAAGCAACAAGAATCCAGTTCCAGCTCCTATAGCCACCTGCACGGTGGTCAGTTATACTAACCACCATGTTCAAGCATGAATTAAATAATCAAAACTTCTGAATTTTTCAATTGCCAAATGACATTCTCGCAGCATTATAGTCTAACTTAATATTTTACTACTAAATCAGAACCATTTGCGTCGCACAAGCAACTGACAACCGCAAAACTGGAGATAACACTGGCTGCACCAAACCTCCAACGAATCAGAGGTAAACAATAGATGATAAAACAATATTGCCAACATAACATCGCCCGGCAATATTTTTTTTCATATTCTGGACCATATACCAAGTATAACTACATGGTTGGTAAGGGTATGTCGCGCCAAAACGGCCATGAATAATTATTTAAAAAGGTGGTCAGTATAACTGACCACTGAGCAGGTAAGGGTTAAATCGATTGATAACATTTTTAATAATGGACGCAAGAAATAGCTGACCAGGAAACTTAATTAATCGTAAAGTGTGAGTACTTTCGTTTTGATTTTTGATAGTTTCCTTTGAAATTTTAAGTTTGAATGCTGCCATGACCAGGGATTGATAGTACGTAAAAATGCATTCAAAAGCGCAATGACCAAGTTTCATTATCTGAGCCCTGGTTCACCATTTTTGTGTATTGTAATATGTTACCTATTATACTTCAATGGCCATTGATAATGAATGAGATATTTGGTATCGTTGAATTCACGGTCTGCATGCTACTTCTATGCACACACTGTGTCTGGCCCTCAAACTGCACATGTTTTATGGAGGGAAAATTTTCCATATTTCGTACAGCCTTCTTTTGCTTCTCACCCAATTTTTTCGGCAATTTTTGTTTTGTTTAGGTCAACAAAAGTAAGGTCAAAAATGAATTCTACAATCAAAAATCCCCACGGAAACACCCAAGTAGCATGGATTGCAATTTCATTGCAATGGATTGTGAGTTGATTGCAATTTTTGCTTGTTGCCTATACGTTCATTTGAAGGCGCTTAAAAAGTTGCAATTTTATTGCAATAAGTTTGCAAGAAATGTAGATTATGCTTGTTGCCTAACCTTCTTTTTCAAGGTACTATAAAGACTGCAATTTCGGTGCAATCATGTTGTAACAAATTCACGCCATGTGCCTGGCATCCAATTCTCTAGTTGTTTTAAAGTTTTTTCGACTTAAATGTCTCACCTAACCCTTATAGCCCAACATATTTTGAAAATATTGTCACCTTTATCAAAATATTTTCATGGCAATATTGTAATTAAAATATTTTCAAAATATTTTTAAAACATTTTAAAGGAATATTTTGAAAATGATTACAAAAAATATTTTGAAAATGATTACAAAAAATATTTTTAAAATAATTCAAAAATATTGCCTGTAAACATGCATGTTAAAAATATTCCTTAAGAAAGTTTTGAAAATATTTTTAAGTTCTCAAGTTAGTATGTGGTGTAATTTACACCGGTGTAAATTTAGTGTGAGTACCTATTACGTGATATCGAAAAAAAAAATCAGACAAAAAAATATGAAAAAAATAAATAACACGAAAAAAAATAAATAATAGGCAAAAGAAAGAAGCCTGAGAAAAACGGCGTTATTCAAATCTATGATGAATGTTGAGCCACGCACTGACGCAATGCATGCGATAACAGCCTTAAGAGGCGTGAATTCAACCCAACTCATCATCAGCTCCCTGTAGCTCAGTGGAAAAGTGCTCCGCTTAGAAATTCGCAGGTCGGGTTCAAGCCCACTCTAGGGCGTCCGGTATTTTATGCTGCTAAACGTCGTAGGACATTAGGTAAGCATGGGTTCGAATTATTATAATTTCCCCGGAAAATTTAGGGGTTGAAATTTAAAGGTCGTCAATATTGAAATTTCTTTGCAAAAAAAAAAATTGCAACTTTTTTACAATGAGGGGGTCAGATGTTGTAAAATAATTGCAATTTTCTTGCAAGAAAGTTGAAATCATCTGGAAATTTTATTGCATTTAAATTGCAATTTTTTCGTTGCAAAATGCTACTTGGGCAGAGTTTTAACACGAAATGCCCACAAGAACGAGTAAAATTTATCTTTGAGTAGGTAACTATAATATTTTTATGTTTCTACGGAAAGTTTGAAAGAACGCACGTAAAATTGTGTATTTGTGTCATGATATCAAGAAAAGTAAGGTCAAAAATGAATTCCACGATCAGTATAACCCAGACAAAGTTTGGTTTAGTACGAAATCCCCAAGAACGAGTGGAATAGCCGCAACGCAACAAGTTAGTATAAGGCGAGGAGCGGGCCAGGCATTCGAGCCGGTGCGTCGCAATGCAAAACGGAATCAGTCAGTGCCGACTCGGCACTGCCGAGGCGGTTTTTTGGACAACTTTCGTGATTGATCGAATATCGCTATGTCCCCGTTAGAAGCTATGGTAAAGAATCGATTGTGCGATATTCGAATAATCGCATTCGAGACGAGTATTTCGATATTCGATTCGTCCACCTGTTTAAAGAATGCAACATGGCGGCTCGGCCATGCACTTGGCCATATGCATTTTCCCACTCAATCACGAATTCACGACCGGTCCCCAGATCGTTCAATTAATTTTAATTTATTGAATCATTAGCCGTTAAAACTGTCATCTTCTCTGCTCATTTAGAAGTATTTCATCCATTCGAGACGAAGCTTTAACCCCAGGGCCAACGAGAATCCAGAAGAAGCCATGGGAATAGTGCGGAGGAACCAAAATTCAGAGTGGATCTTTACAGGTACGAGTCGTTTTTCTTGTATGTATTCCTTTCCATCGCCTCTCCCATTTTTCCGAAAATTTAGTGTAATGAACCGATAGGAAATTGTACGGCCGTTATTATGGGTACTATGATATTTTCCTCTAAGATTGAAAGTTTAAAAGTAAAATGAGGAGAAAGGTCGCTGATCATAAGAATTTTTGCCTGCGCCCTTTTTAAAACTCTTATTTTTGGTCACGAAAATTATTTTTTCGAAAATTTTGTGTAATGAACCGATAGGAAATTGNCGATATTCGAATAATCGCATTCGAGACGAGTATTTCGATATTCGATTCGTCCACCTGTTTAAAGAATGCAACATGGCGGCTCGGCCATGCACTTGGCCATATGCATTTTCCCACTCAATCACGAATTCACGACCGGTCCCCAGATCGTTCAATTAATTTTAATTTATTGAATCATTAGCCGTTAAAACTGTCATCTTCTCTGCTCCTTTAGAAGTATTTCATCCATTCGAGACGAAGCTTTAACCCCAGGGCCAACGAGAATCCAGAAGAAGCCATGGGAATAGTGCGGATCGAGGAACCAAAATTCAGAGTGGATCTTTACAGGTACGAGTCGTTTTTCTTGTATGTATTCCTTTCCATCGCCTCTCCCATTTTTCCGAAAATTTAGTGTAATGAACCGATAGGAAATTGTACGGCCGTTATTATGGGTCCTATGATATTTTCCTCTAAGATTGAAAGTTTAAAAGTAAAATGAGGAGAAAGGTCGCTGATCATAAGAATTTTTGCCTGCGCCCTTTTTAAAACCCTTATTTTTGGTCACGAAAATTATTTTTTCGAAAATTTTGTGTAATGAACCGATAGGAAATTTCACGGCCGTTATCATGGGTCCTATGATATTTTCCTCTAAGATTGACAGTGTAAAAGTAAACTGAGGAGAAAGGTCGCTGATCATAACATTTTTTGCCTGCGCCCTTTTTAAAACCCTTATTTTTGGTCACGAAAATGATTTTTTCGAAAATTGTGTGAAATGAACCGATAGGAAATTTCACGGCCGTTATTTCGGGTCCTATGACATTTTCCTCTAAGATTGAAAGTTAAAAAGTAAAATGAGGAGAAAGGTCGCTGATCATAAGAATTTTTGCCTGCGCCCTTTTTAAAACCCTTATTTTTGGTCACGAAAATTATTTTTTCGAAAATTGTGTGAAATGAACCGATAGGAAATTTCACGGCCGTTATTTCGGGTCCTATGACATTTTCCTCTAAGATTGAAAGTTTAAAAGTAAAATGATTAGAAAGGTCGCTGATCATAAGAATTTTTGCCTGCGCCCTTTTTAAAACCCTTATTTTTGGTCACGAAAATTATTTTTTCGAAAATTTTGTGTAATGAGCCGAAAGGAAATTCTACGGTCGTTATTTCGGGTCCTATGACATTTTCCTCTAAGATTG